TAGTGTAATATATATATATATATATATATATACATACATACATACATACATATCCTTAGGCTGCAACTTAAAAACTTTGGATAGGGAGGTCCAGTAGGGGCCCAGAATTCTGCGTTTTTGAGCAGTGTCCCAGTCATTCTTTTTACCAGGCAAGTTTGAGGAATATAGGCAGTGAGCATGGTGATAAGGAATTAGATGTGATTTAGCTGTCCTACATTAGGAGATCTGGAAGATGTCCTTGGGCAGACATCTTCCTTTATTTTGACATAATACAGATGGTTGTGCATTTTTGATGGTACAGTATGGACATTTGGTGATGGCTTCCCTATCACTCTTCAGATAGCTGTTATCTTGCTCTGAAGTGTGTGTGTGTGTGTGTGTGTGTGTGTGTGTGTGTGTGTGTAAATACCAGAGCTTGAACTCAGGGCCTAGGGCACTGTCCTTTAGCTTTTTCACTCAAGCTGGCACTCTACCACTTGAGCCACATCCAGTTTCCCACTTTTTGCTGTTAAACTGAAGATAAGAGTCTCACTGGCTTTTCCTGCTCAGGGTGGCTTTAAGCCATGATCCTCAGATCTCAACCTCCAGACTAGCTATGATTACAGGTGTGAGCCACCAGAGCCTGGCTTCTTGAGAGGTTTTGACTGATAAAAGTTATCCTTTAAAAGGGAGTATGCTTATTATAGAAAGGTTAATTTAGAAGCACGGATTAACTAATGAGTAGGCACAAAACTGCAGACCCAATTAGTAGGGATCCAGGGCAGTTTAATGAGATCCTATCTCTAAATTAAATTTAAAAATTAAAAAAAATCAAGGAATGAATCTGTCAGGAGGAAATCATAGCTGATTGGAGGAGAGACAGAATTGCAGAGAGGATTTCATAGATGATTCGAGGAGAGATAGAGTTGCAGAAAGGAAGTCGTAGCTGATTGGAGGAGTGATGGAGTTGCAGACTACTCAAATGATGTCAAAGAACTAGCTGAGCATTTCAGAAGGTAAACTCTCTTCCAGACAGCTTCATAAAGAAACAGGAGTGACAGATTGCTGCTGAACAGGCATCAACTGTCCCAGGGCCGAGGAATGACAAGAACATCTGAGACTTCCTAAGTTGGATCAGGGCAGGGAAAGGTAGTAAGATTACCCTTTTGGTCATTTCAACAAAAAAAGATGTCAGAAGTAATGCTATGAAATAGTCCAATTTAGTATGGTGGAAGGACTGGAGAAATTGTTGGAATGCTCTCTTGCTGACTGTACGGTCACTTCTTTGTTCCTTGAAGCAAGACTCAGTTTACATGCATCATGCAGGAAGAAGGCCTGGCTTGGTGAGAGCACGTGCTCTGTACTTGGTAAATGGCATGTTTGATTTTTTTCCCATCATTGTCATCAGCATGGATCTCTGATACAGGGTGACTGGTGTAAAAGCTCCAACTAATTGGTTGTTGTGCAAAATGAATCCAATTATTTGGGCTCTCTTTTTGGATTTAGATTTTTTTGATCTATCTGGGAAAGAGTTGGTAAGGTAGAGATAGAGGAGGAAGTAGAGAGGACCGGAGCCAGAGTGCTTGAAGGTCAAAAAAAGAGAAGCTCTAGCACCAGCATCACAGGTGCTAAAGATGAGCTCAGTTCCTGGAAGATTCTATGCTAAGGTCTGGACCAGGCATTGTGCTGTGATTTGGATGTGTTCTTTAACACTTCATAGTTGGAAACTTAATCCAAATCATATGTTAATGGTACTTGGAGTGGGAAACATTTGGGAGACAGGATTAGAAGAGGTCAAGAGGGTGGGATCAACATGAAGGTATTAGTAGCTTTTAAGAAGAGCTCAAGTCCCTGGTGCAGTGGCTCACACCTGTAATCCTAGCTATTCAGGAAGCTGAGATCTAAGGATCATGGTTCAAAGCCAGCCCTGCCAGAAAAGTCCCTGAGACTCTTATCTCCAATTAACCACCAGAAAACCAGAAGTGGCACTGTGCTCAAGTGGTAGAGTGCCTTGGGCTGAAGAGCTCAGGGACAGCACCCAGAACCAGAGTTCAAGTCCCGTGATTAACAAAAAAAAAAAAAAGAGAAGAGCTCAAGAGACATGTAAGCTAGCACACTTACTCTGCCTCACCACATGATGCTTTCACCATGGAATAACATAGAGTCCCTTACCAGATGTGAGTGCCAAGCTCTCAGACTTCTAGAACCTTGTGCTTAATAAATATTTATTACACATTGGTCTGTGATGTTCATGGTAGCAACAGAAAAGAAGTTTGAGACAGAAAACATGATCACAAATTCATTTTCCAGAAACTGTGTTCTCTGATTATTTGCTCCTTATACCCAGGGAAGCCAAGCGGCCCAGTGATGTACAGAAATGTGGTTATTTTTATAGATAAAATATTATAGGTTTATTTTGCAATATGAGGGAAGGGCAGTGGGTTAGGATCAGAAGTCTTAGATCTGATGAAACTCAATGTTGGCATTTATAAGGTTAATGATGGGGCATTTTTCTGATTTCACATTAATCACAAAGAGGGTGATATTCGTATGAAGCATTGAACATCTCAGGCCTCTAGAGAGCCACATTATGGTCAAGCTCATTTCCAAATCCTAATTGACCCACTTGAATGACTTGGTTGTCAGAAGCAGCTATTACTAGAAAGACAAAGATTGATCACTACTGGACATATTTGAATATTTGTTCTGATGGAAATATAACTGTTCTCAGAGAATCTAAGAACAGAAGTATGTTTTTCCTCTCTAACGTCAGAAATTAGCATTTTTCATGAGGAACATTACCCTTAACAGTTAGGTATGAAAAGCAGAGGGAGAACTCTCTCAGGTACATAAAGTTTTACTTTGAATGAATAAACTTACCGGTTCTCAAGCTCTCTTAGCACCCAAGTTCTAGTAGTTTCTAATATACATACTTTCTGATTAACATACCTGAACACTTTTTTCTTTGTGCTAGCCGGGGGCTTGAACTCAGGATCTGGACACTGTCCCTGAGCTTTTTCACTCAAAGTTGTTGCTCTATCACTTGAGCCACAGCTCCACTTCTGAATTTTTGCTGGTTAGTTGGAGATGATAGTCTTACGGACTTTTTTGTCCAGACTGGCTTCAAATTGGGATCCTCAGATCTCAGTCTCTTGAGTAGTTAGGATTACAGGCATGCGCCATTGGCACCCAGCTCTGAACACTTTTTCATGATATAATAGTTGTTAAATATTTGTAAAATAGTACTAAGGTTAATCATATATAATAGTTAATCAGTATGACATAATTACAACAATGACAATTCAATAGCTGTCTTGATGGTTATGGATAATAGATGCAAAATGTTCTGAAGATTTCTTCAGGCTGCATTGTATTCAAAATCACGAGATGTTCTGGGAATGTGGCTTAGTGGTAGAGTGCTGCCTAACATACATGAAGCCCTGGGTTTGATTCCTCAGTACCACATACACAGAAAAAGCCAGAAGTGGTGCTGTGGCTCAAGTGGTAGAATGCCAGCCTTGAGCAAAAGAAGCTCAGTGACAGGTTCCAGACCCTGAGTACAAGCCCTACGACCGGCAAAATAGACAAACAAACAAATAAATATCATGAGATGTTCCATTTTACTTATTACTCAGAAAAACATCTCACAGTTCTTTCTTTATTCCTCTCCTCTCCTTTTCTCTCCTCTCCTCTCCTTTCTTTTTCTTTTGTGCTGGTATTGGTTATTGAATTCAGGGCCTTGGGCTCTCTTTGTCTTGCTTGCTTACAGCTGGTGTTCTACCATTTTAGTTCCATCTCCAGCTGGACATTTTACTGTTTATTTTGTAGATGGAGTCTCACTGACATTTTTGCCCAGGCTGGCTTTGGACAGCTATTCTTAAATCTCAGCCTCCCAAGTGGCTAGGATTACAGGCATGTGCCACTGGTGCCTGGATTTACAGTTCTTTTGCTACGCCAGTAAAGGAATTTTCTCCCATTCCCCAAAGTTCTTTTTGATTATATTTTTCTTCTGAAATCCAGACACAAATGCAGAGTGTTTTGATGTATTAAATTTCACTTTACGATTGTCTGCCACCATGGTGATGGTTTTGGAGAAATAGTTTAAAAAGCTTAACGATCCAAAATATTCATTGTAACTCTTAGTCACATGACTTAACAGGCAGCATTCACTCTTAGCTCACTGCTACAGGTACTAGAGGAAGGGAAGATATAATATAGACAGTTGCTCAACCGTTTTGCATTTGCTTTGAAATCTACAAGATACAGAAAGTTTAGGTCAGGTACCTTCCACGTTGCTCTATGCTGTCTTTTGCTTAGGCTGTTCAATTCAGATTCTATGAAACTCAGTGCTGGGGACTCATACCTGTAATTCTAACTACTCAGGAGACTGATATCTGAAGACTGTAGTTCGAAGCCAACCTGGGTAGGAAAGTCTGTGCGATTCTTATCTCCAATTAACCAACAAAATGCTAGACATGGACATTTTATTCAAGTGGTAGTTTGCCAGACTTGAATGAATAAGCTTAGAGAGTCCAAGTCCAAGACCTAGTACCAGCACCAAAAAAAAAAAAAGTCTTTTCACTTTCTCACTTCCAGTGAAATCCTTTGCTTGGGCAGAACTTCTCTTTAGGTTCTGGGTGCTCTGGAGGGATAAGTGGAATGTTATGTCATGAGCAGAGAAGTTTTGTTTCAGTTGCCTGGGAAGAGTATTGAAGAGTCACCCCCGAAAGACAGTGTTTCACACGCTTTGTACTTTCCCGCCTCTACCAGAACTTTCTGGCACATCTCTGTGACTCATCTTTGCATGCTGATTGCCAAGTTTTGTTCAACCTATTTTTTTGGGAGGGGGGTCAGGTCGTGGGACTTGAACTCTGGGCCTGGGCACTGTCCCTCAGCTCTTCAGCTCAAGGCTAGCGCTCTACCACTTGAGCCACAGCACCACTTCCAGCTTTTTTCTTTTTTTTATGTGGTGCTGAGGAATCAAACCCAGGGCCTCATGCATGCAAGGCAAGCGCTCTACCACTGAGCCACCTTCCCAGCCCTTGTTCAATCTATCTTGTATTCCACTGGCCTGCATGGATGTGTGGCCAGTGCTTCAGCCCAGATTTCTAAAGAAAAATATAGGCATTCATACTTTCCCTATTCAGGAGATAGTGTGATAATGTAGTTACAAGCATGTCCTGGACAGTCAAGCCACCTGGTTGGAGCCCAGCTCTGTCACTTAGCAACTGCCACAGTATCTTCATATATAACGGAGGGGTCCTGATGACTTACCTTCTGAACCAGGTTATTTTAAAGAGTGAAGTAGATGTTTTTAAAACCAGCCCATCAGGCAATATACTAGGACTGCCTCAAGCAACCTGAAAAGATGGTTGCTATAACAATCACAGTATCTGCTCAGGAGAGTGCGGAGAGGGTCAACTGTGTGGAGATTGAGCTTCGACTTGATGATAACCAAAACAATAGTGAACATTATTACATGAGTTCCTGATATGTGTTGCCATGTTCATTCTCACACTTACTGGAGGCAAGCATTGTGATAGCCCACAATGAGGATTCTGTGTGCCAGAGAGCTGAGTGACATATTCAGGGTTTTGTAGATAGTAGTAGGATCTACCTAAGTCCTTGATCAGGCCCTATTGCTTCCTAGTATTGTAGGAAGTAGGCTCAGCCTCCTTGTGGGTCTGCTTTCTCCAGTACTGACCAGTAGTCCATGCTTCAAGTTCAGAAACTGGATTTCATACACCCTCCTTTCTTTAGGAACTCTGGATGTAGTCTGGCCTCTGGTAGATGACATATCTTTGGCATGTGCCCTCCCTTCTTTGCTTTCTCCAGAATCCCTTTGCTTTGGAGCTTTTCTAGACCTCTATGTGGATCCTTGCTTGTCTACCCTGTATACCATTCATAGGCCATTTATGGAAAGATCAGTTGTTTTCAAGCCATTTTTTAGGAAAGCAAAGACCCAGATCCTGCCCCAGACCTGAGGTCTGATGTGTGTGTGTGTGTGTGTGTGTGGGTGTTCCTGAGGACTCTGATGCATGCTCAAGTCTGACAATGAACGTCCTGTAGAATGAACTTTAGCTTTGCTCTCTCAACCTCAGCTATTACAATGTTTACCCATTGTTCTCCAATACTATAATGGTGAGTCAAGACACTGCTTCCCACAATCACACAGCATTCTCACTTCCAGTCTTTGTCCCACCTATCGGAAGGTGGGTCATTGGCATTTTTCCTCCTTCCCTTTCTTTCCCAGTTCAGACCCCATCTCCTCCATGCAGATATCTTAACGTCTCTAGTCCCCCTTTTCTTCTTTCTCCTGCAATCCGTATATGCAGGCTTTATGCTGTGTGCTCACAGGATCTCTCCTCAGCTGTTTGGTGCCTTGTAGAAAGAAACTTTGCATAATCACACTTCTGTAACCAAGACCAGGTCTAGTAGGGAGTAGGCACCTCCAAGGTATTGAAGAAGCAACTCCTTATTGCCAGAATGATTGATGCATTGATCAACTGCAGTATACTTGCTTGCAATGTCTTTCTCAACCCCAGATTCCTGAGGGGCTGAGTCAGACAGCTGATGTTCTGCTCAGGCAATGCTGGACAATCAGGGAACATAACTAATATAGAGAGAACCAGTCTTCTCACTGCTCATGAAACAGACAGCCAGAAAGGAACAGAGATGAGAAACAGTGTGGCCCTGGAGACAGAGGTGGACTATCCAGTAGATCTGGATAGATTTGCCTCCAGGACATTGAACCACCTTTTAGACTTTAATTGGTCTCTGATCCTTACAAGTACTGAACCCTGATTATGATGCAAGTGAATGGTTGCTTTTGGAAGCACACCTTGTCAGGGTTAAGTAGGTGGCCATCTTTGCTGAATATCTCACAATGTCATACATGATGTCTATGTATCATTAACCCTGGTCCAGCCTACTTGTTCTAACTTTCCTGTGTCTTTCTTTCTTTAATGTAGTACTGGGGCTTGAAATCAAAGACTCATGTTTTTGGCTGGCTTTTTAAATTTAAAGCTGGTGCTCTACCATTTGAGCCATGCCCCCACTTCTTGCTTTTTGCTGGTTGGTTGGAGTCTCACAGATTTTCCTGCCTGGGCTGACCTTGAACAGGATGCTCAGAACTTAGTATCCCAAGTATCTAGGATCAAATGTGTGAGACACTAGTAATAGGCCTTGCATCTTTTTCTGGCAAACACTTGGCACCCAGAGGCTAGCTTGGGAGCCACCATGATCCACACTTCTATGGGGAGCTGACATCTTGGATGATGTTATTGGTGCAAGCAGTAGCTGGCTTTCTCTTTTTCTCAGAGACTTTCATTTCTTCTCCCACTTCCAACTTGAACCTTTATCTTCCTCCATCCCAGGGCCCTTGGGGCTTTGCTGCTGGAGCGTTTAGGCTGCTCAAAGATTTTCACCCTGGCAGATGAGCTCTAATCATTGTGGCAGGCCATTCAGCTGATAGTTTGGGCAGACAGGGCAGCTGATGCAGAGTAAACTACATTATTTCATGGTCTGTCATTTTGATTCAGGTATGCTAAAGCTGGTCATAATTCTCCCTTGGGCAATTTCTTTCTATGGACTGCTGGTTTTTCTCTTTCCTTCATTCTCATTTTAGAAATGAGAAGATAAGAAGTTAAGCACTTCTGACAAGTCACTGATGCACCCAAGCACCCAAGCTTGTAGGAAAATCCAGAGGAGCTCAGTAATTTCTACTGTGCAAAGGTACTGTGGTCCCGAAAGTCCAGAGAGAATTCTGATAGTCAAGAAAACTTTTATCCTGACCTAGGGAAGGGGCTGTTAGGTTTCTTCTCTTCTGTCCCCACCCCCTGGGCCCTTTCTGGTGAGAATATGTCATCTGTATCAGTCAGGTAAAATCCCAGGAGCAAAATTGTCAATTTTCCATTTGGTGCTGGGAATGGAATCAGGGCCTCACAAATGCGAGGCAAGTGCTCTATCACTGTATCTTCTTCCTAGTTCACTTCTTAACCCTTGTTCTTACCCTATTCACTGCCCCCACTGCTTCCACTGCTGTGAACCTAAGGTGGATTCACAGGGTACCACATATCTTTCTTTGTGGTAGAAGGGTCAGGAGAGAGAGGAAAGCAGGTAGCTTCCTGGATGTGAGAAAGAGCAACAGAGGCACTGGAGAGAGAAGCTGCAAAGCTGAGTTTTTCTCCTAAGAAGGAAGTACTAAGCCAGGAGCAGGTGGCTCATGCCTGTAATCCTAGCTACTCAGGAGGCTGAGATAAGAGGATTGCGGTTCAAGGCCAGCCAGGGCAGAAAAGTCCCCATGAGACTCTTATCTCCAATTAACCACCAGAAAACTGGGAGTGGCTCTGTGGCTCAAATTGGTAGAGTGCTTACCTTGAGCTGGAGAACTCAGGGACAGCGCCCAGGCCCAGAGTTCAAGCCTCATTACTGACAAAAGAGGAGGAGGAGGAGGAGGAGGGGGAGGAGGAGGAGGGGGAGGTACTAGCAGTTTAAACCCAAGCCAGTCACTAGGATCAATGGCCTTTTGGAACTGCATTGCAGGGAAAATAAAAAAGAAATTGGAAAACCCTTCCTTCCTTCCTTCCTTCCTTCCTTCCTTCCTTTTCTTCCTTCTTTCCTTCCTTCCTTCCTTCCTTTCTCTCTCTCTTTCTTTCTTTCTTTCTTTCTTCCTTCCTTCCTCTCTCTCTCTTTCTTTCTTTCTTCCTTCCTTCCATCCTCTCTCTCTTTCTTTTCTCTTTCTTTCTTTCTCTCTTTCCTTCCTTCCTTCTTTTCTTACTTTCTTTCTTTCTTTCTTTCTTTCTTTCTTTCTTTCTTTAGCTTGAACTCAAGGCCTGGGCACTGTCCCTGAGTCTCTCTATGCTCAGAGCTAGCACTCTACCACTTGAGCCACAGCACCATTTTTTCTGATTAGTTTATTGGAAATAAGAGTCTCACAAACTTTCCTGCCCAGGCTGGCTTTGAACTGTAATCCTCCAGTCTCAGCCTCCTGAGTAGCTAGGATTACAGGCATGAGCCACCAGTGCCCAGCTTTTCGAAACTCTTTCTCCAACCCAAATCTCCTACTCCAACCATGCACATGGGTAGAAATCTTGCTCATTTTCCCTCTGAGGTTGTTGCAAATTATTGGTTTACCAAATGTTTATCAAAACATATGTAAAATGCCTTATATAAAGTAGAGACTACAAAGATAAATAATAGAGGGCTTTATCTCCAAGGAACTGGTACTCTTATGAGCCAGAATATACAGCCATACCACACTGACCAAGAGAAAGAACAGGATGAATGCTGTGAGAGGTATAGCTAGGTGCTTTGGGAATACAGAGGAAAAATCAGTAGTGGAATCCAGGCAGACTTCATGGAAAGTCTCAATCAATGAGTAGGACTTTGGAAAGTGGAGCTCTAATGTCACTTATTTCAAGTTGAAGGATCAGAATTGAGCAAAGACAGGGAGAAGTCAGAGACCATGTTTGGCCTTTAGGATACAGACATGGGTTTATCAGAGAAGTTTGGAAAAATCGGTTAAAACTAAACTGTGAAGCTTTTGAACACTATATGTTGTAATTCAGAGTTTATTCTATAGATAATGTGTAAGATCTTAGAGAGAAATGTTTGTTTATGAGATGCCATGGACCGCTGGGC